GTTCTGTTTGCGGGAAGGAAGTTATTGATATGAGAAACTTCCTCCAAGATATTAAAGGCCGTTTTCTGAATAAAGAGAGATTAAAAATGAAAAGAGTCATTGTATGTCTACCTTGCAGTTATGGATTTCTTGATTTAAGCTTCTTTTCATATGGTTCACGTAGCTATGAGTCATTGGGATTGTTATGCATAAGGAGAGTATAGAGAAGGCGGAAAATGTAACAGCCGAGTAAGCGACGATGCGGTAGGCTTTCAAACGACTGTCCAACTCCATCTGCAGCAAGATGATAGGATAGGAATTTCCTATTTTGTTTTATATACAATCTGAAATGTGGAGGTCAAAGTTATCCGCTTTAGTCATAACGCGACAATTTTCGATTCATCACACGTCTGCGTCTATAAGAATGTTCTATATCGAGTAGACTATACGATGCGAATGGGCTTAAATGCGGATTTAATGACGCGCGAATGGGTGCAATGTTCTTGTTACCTTTTGTGATCTCTGGTACTGCTTCAAAATCGCCAGATAATTCTCCTTTAGCAACTATTATCACCATTAAACACGAAATCAACACATTCTATATTAAACAGTGCTTCGCCTATTTCTCAAAAAATTTTAAAACTTTGCTCTCAACGCCATCTTAAGGGAGAAAGATGTCTCGGCTATTGAACAAATTCTCAAACATTGCATTTGACCTTCTATGCTGACCATTAAGCCCACTCATAGCAACACAAAATAAACAGCCAACTAACCATGTTTTCATAACCAATTGCTCATGTTTACTCAAAGTTTCTTGATTAACATCATAACGATTCTACTGCTTTTTGCCTTTCTTAGCAAAAACTAGTTTGCTGACAGAACACACACATAAAGACAAGCGCTTCATTCAGCAATATTTGTTAAAATTGCCTATTGAAAGATTTCAAACCCAAGTTCCTAAGACTTTCGTGAAATCTTCAAATGTGATGTTTGAAGCATTTGTTCAATAGTCGATACTCTTACTGACCAACACCTATTTCCCTAGGCGACTAAAATTCAAGCCCAAAACTAAACGAGGAATGCAGTAAGAAAGGACCATTTTACCTCAAAGATTCGAGGAATCTCAAGGCTCAACCATAGATGATTAGATTGCAAAACTTCTAGTATCAACGGATAAACGTTAGAGTGGGATTTTCTAGCTCAACTATAAATAGTACTGATACGTGCATCAGCTGCTGTTATCTTACAATTTACAATTTTGATTCTATCTTTATACAAAAGTGAAATCGGTGCTGACGTTAGTACTAGTACCGCTATAATAAGCTTATTAACTCTCATAAATAAACTATACTTGGGTAAATTCAAATTAACTTTGGTGATTTATTCTTTTAGAAACATATACTCGTATTTTTAAGCTGAGCTCAACCGTTTGTGCTTTGTTGAGGTAGTTGAAAGCACTGATCTTCGTTGCTTATTTTAAATAACTATAGCCCTTCCCAGTGCCCTTCAGAAAGAATCTCAAATTATTCAGGGTTGTATGCAATGCTAGATCATTTATTAAGAGATTATTACATGGAATTTTTGCAATACAAGCGCAAACCCGAAATAGGACAATGGATGAAATTGTGTTTACAAACATTACAGATTAAAAATGATGTGGTGTTATTATCAAATTACTATAGCGATAATAAAATTAAGATGAAGTACCTATGCATAGGCATCGAGAAAGA